GTTCAGGCAATTCTCCTGCCTCAGCCTCCTGAGTAGCTGGGATTACAGGCACGCGCCACCATGCCCAGCTGATTTTTTGTATTTTTAGTAGAGACGGGGTTTCACCGTGTTGACCAGCATGGTCTCGATCTCTTGACCTTGTGATCTACCCGCCTCGGCCTCCCAAAGTGCTGGGATTACAGGCTTGAGCCACCGCACCCGGCCTCAGCTGAATTTTTGTTGTTATTGTTGTTGTTGTTTTTGTAGTAGAGATGGGGTTTCACCGTTTTAGCCAGGATGGTCTCTCCATCTCCTGAACTGGTGATCCACCTGCCTCGGCCTCTCAGAGTGCTGGAATTATAGGCATGAGCCACCGCACCTGGCTGTTTATGCCCATTTTAAATAAAATGAGGGAAACTAGAAGTTTGTAATTCTTAGTTTAATTATTTATACTTATTTTCTTTTATCAGCTTCTGGAAAAGATGAGTAGGTTCATCATGTGGTAATGAGTAAAACCTCAGTCAATAAATATGTGACTTTCTATTTATCTGTTTTCAGGCTGAGAGCACAGACGAAACAACAACTCTTAGAATATAAATCAATTCTTGATGCAAGTAAGTATTTTCATTTTCAAATTAGGGTTTTTGTTTGTTTTCTGAGACAAGGTCTTGCACTGTCATCCAGGCTGGAATGCAGTTGCACAGTCTCCGGCTTACTGCAACCTTAGCCTCCTGGGCTCCAGCAGTCCTCCCACCTTAGCCTCTGAAGTAGGTGGGACCACAGGCACATGCCACCGCACCCAGCTAATTTTTTGTATTTTTTGTAGAGACAGGGTTTTGCCACCACATCCAGCCTCAAGTAAGCTTTTGTGAGTTTGATTTCTCAAGGGAAAAGAAAATTAATTTTTTTTTTTTTTTTGAGACGGAGTTTCGCTCTTACCCAGGCTGGAGTGCAATGGCCCGATCTCGGCTCACTGCAACCTCCGCCTCCTAGGTTCAGGCAATTCTCCTGCCTCAGCCTCCTGAGTAGCTGGGATTACAGGCGCACACCACCATGCCCAGCTAATTTTTTGTATTTTTAGTAGAGACGGGGTGTCACCATGTTGACCAGGATGGTCTCAATCTCTTGACCTCGTGATCCACTCGCCTCGGCCTCCCAAAGTGCTGGGATTACAGGCTTGAGCCACCGCGCCTGGCCAAGAAAATTAATTTTATCAAACATTATTTATATATGTCTAGTGTACCAAAACTGGTAAACCAACATGCAGTATATTTATGAAGTATAAGCGTAATGAAGGAAACAATGGCATGATAAGAAGGAGGGGCTTCTTTACATAGAGATAGCTTGTCTAAGATGATTTTAGAGCTCAGATCCGAATGATAAGAAAGTTTACATTCCTGTAGTCTTTGTTTTCTCTATATAGCTAATACCATTTTTAAGGGATTGTGACATCCAAAAACTTGGGCAGATTTAGTTAACATTGTTAGAATCTCTATACCTAGGAGAAGACAGATGTACGGCAGGCCACAGGAAGTTTAGTTGTAGCTTTTAAAAGAAGATGTTTATCTAAAATTGACTATCTGCACTTTTAGAGGCCAAGGCAGGGAGATCACTTGAAGCTAGGAGTTTGAGATTAGCCTGGGCAACAAAGTGAGACCTCGTCCCTACAAAAATAAAAAAATTTAGCCGGATGTGGTGATACGTACCTATAGTCCCTCTGGGACTCACTGCAGCCTCCAACCCCTGGGCTCAAGTGATTGAACCACTGTACTGGACTCCACTCCACTGGGTGATAGAGTGAGACTGTCAAGCAATTAATAGATAGAGAAATAAGTATTGATTCTTTTACCATTTAAAAAATATATATATTACTGAGACTTCATTGGTTAAAGGATTGTTTTTTACAATATAGGCATCTATTTTAAGGGTTTAATTTGATGAGTTTTGACAGATGTCTAAATCTGTATAATCACTACCATAATCATGATACAGAGCATTTTCGTCTGAGCATGGTGAATCAATCTGTAATCCCAGCACTTTGGGAAGCCAAGGCGAGAGAATTGCTTGAGCCCAGGGCAACCAGCCTAGGCAATATAGCAAGACCCCATCTTTACAAAAAATAAAAAAACAAATTGGCCGGGTATGGTGCCATGCACCTGTAGTCCCACCCAGCTGAGGTAGGAGGATTGCTTGAGCCTGGGATATCAAGGCTGCAGTGAGCCAAGATCACAATCATTGCACTCCAGCCTGGGTGACAGAAGGAAACCCTGTCTCCAAAAAAACTAAGATATAGGGCGCTGTAATTCCAGCACTTTGGGAGGCTGAGGCAGGCAGATCACGAGGTCAGGAGATCAAGACCATCCTGGCTAACACGGTGAAACCCTGTCTCTACCGAAAATACAAAAAATTAGATGGGCATGGTGGCGGGTGCCTGTAGTCCCAGCTATTCACGAGGCTGAGGCAGGAGAATCGCTTGAACTCGAGAGGCAGAGGTTGCAGTGAGCCGAGATCGCGCCACTGCACTCCAGCCTGGGCGACAGCAGAGCGAGACTCCGTCTCAAAAAAAAAAAAAGAAAAAGATACAGAACATTTTCATACCAAAATAATCCTGTGTGCTGCTTCACAGTCAGTCCCCATCCTTTCCTCCAGCAACCACCAATTTTGATTTCTGTTACTGTAGAATTGTCTTCTAGAGTTGTGCTGTCCAGTATGGTAACCACTAGCCACATGTGGCTTTTTTTTTTTTTTTTTTTTTTAAAAGACAGAGTTTTTATCTTGTTGCCAAGGCTGGAATATAATGGCCTGATCTCAGCTCACTGCAAACTCCGCCTCCCGAGTTCAAGGGATTCTCCTGCCTCAGCCTCCCAAGTAGCTGGGATTAAGGCACCTGCCACCACTAGTGGCTAATTTCTTGTATTTTTAGTAGAGATGGGATTTCACCATGTTCACCAGGCTGGTCTCTAAACTCCTGACATCAGGTGGTCCACCACCTTGGCCTCCCAAAGTGTTGGGATTATAGGTGTGAGCCATCGTGCCCAGCCACACATGTGGCTTTTCAAAGCTAATTAAAATTAAATAAAATTTAAAATTAGGTACATATCAAATGCTCAGTAGCCACATGTGGCTAGTGGTTACCCTATGGGATAGCATAGATATGAAGCCTTTCCATCATCACAGGAAGTTCTGGGCTTCTTTTCTGTTCCATTGAGGTATTTGTTGATCCTTACACAAGTACCACATTGTCTTTGTTGGGTTTTGTTTTGTTTTTTTTTGAGACTGTCTTGCTCTGCCACCCAGGTGGAATGCAGTAACAAGATCTTGGCTCACTGCAACCTCCACCTCCTGGGCTCAAGCAATCCTCCCAACTCAGCCTCCCAAGTAGCTGGGACTACAGGCATGTGCCATCATGCCTGGCTAATTTTTAGTAGAGACAGAGTTTCACTATGTCGCCCAGGCTGGTCTCAAACTCCTGGACTCAAGCAGTGTGGTTGGTTAGTCATCATTGTCCTGGACTCAAGCAATATGGTTAGTCATCATTGAGATGGGTCGTAAATGTAAAATACAGACAGAATAAAAGTGAAATATTTTGTTAATAATATTAAATTGACTACACATTGAAATAATATTTTGGCTCTATTGGGTTAAATAAGTATATTAAAATTAAATTTCACTGTTTTTCCATAATGTAAAAATGACATTTTAAATGATGTTTTTGCCCTTGTGGCTTACATTATATTCCTTTTGGACAGCATTGTTCTAAAATGTTAGTAACTTCAAAAAATTATTTATTTGCAGGTGAAGAAAAAACTCCAGAACAAATTATGCAAGAAAAGCAAATCGAAGCGTATGTTATATTTTAAAATTTTGTTTATGGTCTTTACTAAGATTTAATCATATTTTCTATTATTTCATTGTTGTTAGAGATGGAATCTAACTATCACACAGGCTGGAGTGCAGTGGTGTGATCATAGTTCATAGAAGCCATAACCTCCTGGGTTCTAGGGAACCTCTGGCCTCAGCCTTCTGAGTAGCTGGAACTACAGGCTTATTGTACCACACCCAGCTATTTTTTTTTTTTTTTTTTTTTAATAT